CAGAACCAAGCATTTATGACACAGGTTTGTGAAGAAGTTACATATTTTTATATTTACAAAGATAGTTTTCGATTTTTTTTTTTTAATAAATCAAGATTTAAAAAAAAATGAATAAATGCATTCTTTGTTGAAACAAACAAAATAAAAAGCAACCAAAAGAAGTTTTTTTTAAAACGCAATATACATCAAAAAGCATTAACCCCTACAAGTTCCTCCTTTGGCCTCCTATTTACAGATTTTGGAACTTCCTCTCTTGGAACGATATCGATCAAGAAATCAAATTGGTCAGATCTGCTCACTGCAGAGGCGACGTCACTACGTTGCAAGGTACGACGTTTATTTTCTTCAGCATGAGTCCATGCTCGCATCGTGATTTCGGATATAAAGATTTCACAGGCTTTTGAAAATAAAATGGGTGCCTATAATTTTTGTATAATAATGATAATTAAAGCATACAATCAGATTTTGGAGCATACAAAATTATTCGAATAAGAAAAAACCAACCTCAGCGCTAATCATCTGCAATCAAATTATAAAGCAAGCATATAAAAGTCAATTCAATATACTATAATGTATCAATAATACTTTAATAATTATTTGCAAAACTCACCTTAACGTCTTGATCACTTTTCATAACTTTTTTGATTCTTGCAAGTGGTAATGGATGGTTTTTGAAATCACTTTCAAACTGCTCTGCTACCATAATTTGTTTATTCCAGAACTGATTTTAAATTATCAATATATTCAAATTTAGAGAAAACTATCTTTGTAAATATAAAAATATGTAACTTCTTCACAAACCTGTGTCATAAATGCTTGGTTCTGCTGTTGTTGCAGAATTTGTTGTTGCGTTTGAAGGTGGGTTGCTACAGCAGCAGAAGAAGCTGATGCAGTATTTGAGGCATTTAGAACAGTCTGGTCAACAACAGCTTGTGTCGTTGGTTCTGCCATAGCGCTATATTTTTTTTGCAGTTAAACCTGAGGAAGAATAAGAATAATTCTTTCATTAATTGTTTACGAACATATGTAGTAGGTCAGGTGATAATTTGGTGATCGAAATTTACTGCATGTGCTAATTGGATGTTTTAAAATTGGTGTGGCGAAACTTTGAACAAATGAGAAACATGCCATTATTTTACAGATAATTATATAAAAAAAACTTGCGTTACGATATACTGATATATATATGTTGTGTCTCAGATTTAATAGGCGCTAGTTGCATAATGACTATTTGACTAGAATTAACAAACTGGTCTAGTCAAGAGACAAAGATCGGAGCACTGAAGATTTATATACAGAAATAGCCCTCTCTGCGAATTGATATTTGCCAAGACTACGTGAGGCTTTCAACAATTTAAATTTAATATCATATTCTACCGTAATAAGCACCATTTGAGTGTTGTCAAAAGAAAACCTTCAACTCTAAAAATAGATTACTATGATTTTCATAATAATCTATTTTTAGAGTTGTAGACAACACTCATTTCCTCTATCCCATTTTTGTTAAATATCAGATTAGCGGAAATCGTAATAAGATTTTAGGTAATGAAATATACAACTATATATCCTTAAATTCGGTCACTAAATCTGAGCATTTGGTCTCCAATTTTAATGTTAAACCCCGAAAAAGTCTTAAACTAAGTGCGTAAAAATAGAGTTAGGGTTAGGTCGTTAACATTAGTGGCTATAACAATAGATTGTTGTTTTTTATATGTAAAATTTCGTTTCCGACATTTTTAATTAGTGTACCAAGGTCGATTTAAACATTAGTTTTTGAGTATTTTCGCTTTTTTCTTCTTTCGCACGTGTTCGGAATTCATGTTGGGCTGATCCGGAACAGTCAAATTTTATGCACTCCGATTGGCTATTTTCTTTTTAGGGGTTTGTATTACTCGCGCAAATAAGTGCATCCTCTGGGCATGCTTCTAGGTACGTATTCCTTTCAAAAAATTAAAAGTTGTCACATAAAAAATTTTGGGGGCATGTCCGAAAATTTTCCCATGCCCCCCTAGCTAACTCATCTTCCCCACTTGATTAGACATAGAAATCTATATTATCTATATTATAAAAATTTAGATGTTCGATTCGTCTAGTATTACATAATTTTGTATCACACTACCCGTTGTTTAACAACGGGTCGAAGCACCTAGTTTATTATAATAACAAACCTTCACCCTGGGGATAGTAGTTATTTTGGTCAAAAGTTATTATTGTTTACTTAGTGGTCAAAAATTTCAAATTTTGGAATAATATCTAGTTTTAGAAAATAGCTACATTTAAAATTTCTCCTCTTAATTATTATTAAAATTTAGAGTTAGATATTAGGACTTCAATTTTAGTTAGTATAAAATTTTTGGGGTTTGAACATTTTTGCTTAATATATTTTTGAGATATAGCACCTTAGTGATCTTTCTTTCTGGTAAAAATTAGCAATATTTATAATTTTATATATTAAATTTAGTTTTTTTTGCTTTATTTTAGATTTTAGAGTAATTTAGTATAATAATATGTTTGTTAAGTTTTTTTTTTTTGAAACTTTGGCTAATTACACCATAAACCTATATTTATTAAAGCCTTGTTGTTGCTAAAAACAAAAAGCAATAAAGTCTGTAGTTTGACATCATGTAGTTACTTCAACATGATTAAGTCATCTAAGTGTCTATAATAATTAGCTGCACTAATAAGGTAGTATAATAGCTAGCCAAGTAATTAAAATAACCATTATAGCCTTACAATAAATAAATCTGTGCCCAGTTATGCATGTTGTCGATTATCATATAAAATTCTTTAAAGTTTATTAATGTTAAGATTGATGTTTTTTTTTTTTTTTTTTGTAGTCAAGGTTAGCCTCTTTGGCTTACTGCTTTTATTAGATACTAGGATCATGTGGTGCCCTTTTCAAGGAGGCTCCAGACAAGTACATTCTGACGAAAATATATTCTAGCTATATCTGCTCCTTTTAAGCACCTAATTAAGTATCTACTTATTATTAGGTTTTACGTTAAATGTTGTACCTGTAACTCACTATTACTTGAGCTACCCAATTAAACCCTCTGATCTGAGTTTTTTATACCAATCCATCTAACCTTACCCGGAATATGCGATACATTAGTTAGTCCAAGTTCTGAGATCATCGCAAGTTCACCTCTAGGACTACTGGTATTACCGATTCATTCTCAAGTTCATCATCTGTTAGAGCTATCTGTTACTCACTTTTAACATATAACCTAGTTTTTTTTCGAATAGATATTATCAGATAGGTTCTATACCTTTACAAGCAGGCTACACTGCCAATTTCTATCGCAGATAAGTAGCTGAATAGATTCTAAACCTTTACAGTGTAATATTAACGAATTTTTATTAATTTTTTTCTTATAATATTCCTTAAATTTTATTATATACCTTATATGTTTATTATATATTTTATTATTTTATTAGTTTATTTACATAGTTTATATCATATTTTATCTATTTTAGATGTTTTTACAATAGTTTATTATATATTTTATTAGTACACTTTTATCAGAATCCCATTTAAAGCAATATTTGCTTTATATTAATTATTAGTTCGTTTAACGTAATGGTGTATAAAGCAAGGCTACACAAGTAACACAGAGCACATGAGGTACCCCAGGATGCCCCAGGACCTTCTAGAATGATGTATTAATAGTCAATTAATTGTATTACTAATTTTAGAAATAATTGCTTTATTAGTTAGTTTATAGCATTATTTTATATCGTTATTATATAACATTATTAGACGGCATTATTAGACGGTATTATTTCATGTCACTATCATTTTTGTAACTATTTTTAGCCTTAGAATAGCATTATGATGACCAAAATAATAGTATATAGTATTATTGCAATGATTTGCAATGATTGATATTAGTAATATAATGATTTACGGTATTATTTCCTAGCATTATTACATGTCATTATTATACAGCTTTATCGAAAAATATATAAACCCTGCCTTTTCTCCAAGGCAGAAGGACATCAATGTATACTTCCCAATTAATCCTTTGAATATTTATATCGCTTCTAGGTATATTTGACCCTTTTCTTTGTTTATTTTCTTGTATAAAAGCCATATAATTGTTTAATAAACTATAATTCTATATTGAATATATAGTAGGTTTATACCATTTTTATTGTGTTTTTATAGTAAAATTATTTTTTTTCTATAGATATTTTTGAGTAAACCTTGTTATTTTTGTCTTCTTGTTTAGTTATTTTATAGTATTTTTGTTTTAGTTTAGGCTTTTCTTTAGTTTTTCTTGTTTAAAACATTCCTTAACTACTTATATATGTTAAGTCAAGTAATATATTTGTTTGACTTAACTGGCGACGACACATTTTATTATTATTATATCTTATATATAGTTAAGTCAAGCAAGCATATTACAGTATATTGGTTAAGTATTTGATATAGGTCGAAAAGTGCTTGATTGCCATTTAACAGATGTAAAGTATTTTCATATTGATTACATCAGGTACAGTTAGGGGTTAAGTAAAGGTTAGAGTAACAAAGATAAAGGTTAGACATTGTAGGTAGGTTGTTTAGTAGTATTTTAATATGTAGTAAGAATAGATTAGGTTTGTAATTATAGGAGTTAATGATGGTTGTAAAGGTTTTAATGTTGAATTAAGAAATATTACAAATGTTTTTAAGTTGAAAGAATTTATTGAAGGTTTTAATAAAACTTAAATTCTTTGTAAATTTACGGATTTGTGAAGAAATTAGAGTATTACTCCATGAGAAGAAGGGGAATGTTATAAGCTAATCTAAATTAAGTTCAATAGATCGTCTGTTTGTGTCTCTTCTTGCAAGAATGTCTGCATTCCGATTTAAAGCATTCTTGGAGTATGCTTTAACTTTATGTATAGTGAGAGATATGTTTTCTTTTGAAGAAGATTGTTGATGATATGTAAGTAATCCCAGTTTTTATTTTTGATTTGTATAGAGTGATAATAAGGTAAGTTTTTAAGAATTTGAATTGTAAAAGTGTTATTGCAATGAATATGTATATGAAGATTTTGTGATAAAGAGAGAAGTATGAATATGATTGGTGCTAGTTCAGCTCTTGTAG